TCGGTATGGATTGTGATTGGCATATTGGTCTGTCTATCTGCCATCTATACCACGTATCCCTTGACATTAGGCGAGAGGCGGGGTCCACCCTGGACAGGCGTCATCTTAGCATCTGCCCACGTTAAGATAAGATAACATAAAATAGGATAAGATAAGATATTCCTTTATTAGTTCCACAATAGTGAAATTTGCTGTGTTACTAATAATATTTACAATTTGATGTTTAGATTTGCTCCCTAAGCTCTGGAAGCTCTGATGTGGTAGCACACCTCTTTTTTTTTTTTGACACGTCCTCTGGGACTGGTAGAGTCAATAAAAAGCTGGAGTCGAGGCTTATGGACTTTTAAACATATCTGTGGATGCATGTCATGGATGTAACACGATCAATTAAGAGCATATTCAGTGCTTGTCTTTAGTAAATCAGCCAATTCATGAAATCAGCAACTGTAAAATAATATAGCTATTTAGTGAAGTAAACAGAAATACTCTACTGTTTTATATCTGAAAACAAAGGCCTTCTCCTTGTAGTGAAATTTTCAATGAGTCACTCTAGTACAACGATAAAGGTCGTGCGGCCTCACCTCATCTGAGGAGCAGGAATCTTACGTTTCCTATCCTTGATGTCTGTGTCATTCCTTAATGCTTCTGTTTATTACGACAACATTTGATTATTCATGTAACCTGATTACATTCTGTTCCATTGCTTTGTTGCACTTGTCAAGATTAGACAAATAAAGTAAGCTTGAATCTTATTTCTTAGTTAAATTGCGAAAGTTTCTATTTGACAATGACAATGAAAGCAACAGCATATGTTAATATTTGAGCAGGATGAGGCCAGCAGCTCTTCCTCTCGACCTGCGTGCATCCTGCATCCTTAATTCAATTTAGAGGAAGCCTGTGCAGAGAAACCATGTTAGATTACATTCAGGCCCTTTACTCTGCAGCTGGACTGTGCCGCAGGGATTTTATAGAGAGGAAAAAGCTGAAAATCAAAATCAATAGTGAAACATTTATCTGTGGGGATATCGCTTTGCTTTGTAAATCAATGGGGGTTGTAACATGAGGCCGTGCCACACCAAACACCCTGATGATGGTGTGTGAATGTCTGATCACAGGCTCCTGCTGCTGGGAAGGTTTTCAGAGATGTTGTGTAACTGAGGACACTCGATGATAGATCCAGAAATGATAGGAGCGAGTTAAGAAGGTATTTGTCCCCCACACATACTGACGGGTCTCACCGTCACTCACCTGTAGCTGCTGGAGGTGGACATCACCTCCTTTATCTGCCTGTTGAGAGCGTCTGCAGCTGCGCGGCCTTTCCTCTGCTCTGCGCTCACCTCTGCAGACACTTCTCCCTCAGACTTCTCGGCAGGTTTTCTCTCCGCTGACTTCTCCCTCTTCACGCTCCTCTTTGCCGCCTCCTTTGACTCCTTCTCCTGCATCTTCTCCTCGATCTCGCTCTTCTCCACACCGCTCTCGGCCTCGGCTGCAGGCTCCGGCTTTCCGCTCCCCGCGCTGCGCTCTGTTGTGGCGGCCGCAGCAGCAGCAGCAGCGGTGGGGCTGGGTTTGGGGATCCAGGGGTGGTCATGTTTTCTCGGTATAGGCCACGGTTTGTAATCCTTCTGGTACTGAGTCTCGTTGTTGAACGGGGCCGCGGAGGGGTGGTACTCGTTCCGGGGCTTGCAGCTGGGCTCGGGGCGCACTCTCCACGCCTTGAAGTCATGGCGCATAACGGATTCAGAAGAGCCATCTTTGCCCGCTGCGGCACCGGTCGCGGGCGGTGCCTTCCCAGCCTCCTGCTCGCCGGGGTGAGGCTGCGTTTCTATGGCGATGGCGCCCGCCCGCTGCTTCGGCTGCGGGTGATGGGACAGATGCTGCACGTCGGCCACATCCGAGTATTTGGTGAAAACCAGAGGCACCGCGATGTCCCCTTTGTCCAGCTCGGTCCAGAAGCGGTTGATGCAGCATGCACGCGTAATGCACGGCCATGCCATGATGGAGGCTGACTGGAGAAAGACGCACAGACAAAAACTCCAAATCTGAGGATGAATAAACGTCCTACTCACGTCTCTTTCTGCACGTTTCACCCTGTGGCCTCTCAGTTTCTGTCCAGTCAGGGTTTTTCCTCCTCTCAGCCTTTTATGTGATTCTCTACTGAGAGTGAATCTCAATCTTTGCCCACTTGAGCCCCCTCCTCTCTCCTGCAGGCTGCTGGTTCTTTACTCAAGTTTAGACTTTGCGCTTTGCCGTGGAGCGCACATTGCTGTCTGGTTGCGCATCGAGGCGACCCCACCCACATTTGTGTGATGCCCGGGCTCTGCACTGAGTGTGCACGGTGAACTGTCACCTGAGCTCGTCACCGTCTGGCCAGCAGAGAGGGAGGAGACACTGTTAACCCCTGCCGCGACACACAATGTCAGCTCAGCATGGCACACTGGATGTAGCAGAGGCCTTGTGTTGTTCCATGAGGAGGAAATGGCCGATAATGCAGCAGAAAACCAACAAAAATGACATAAACCTCCACATGTGCATATATCAAAATGCAAGAATCAAACGTTGAGGTTTGCAATGATAGAGTTTACACAATGTGGTCTTAAGAGATAGATAAAACAATGTTTGCATGCACCTGGGAGACAACAAAAAAGATGAGCAAAATTGTGAGAAAACTAAATAAGAAAAAACATTTTGGCACAATCTGAGTAAAATGTGTTTTAATGTTGTTCTGTATATTTTTTTAATTCAAACAAACTGAAACTAGGCCTGTTTGTGAATATTTTAAGACACAGGAAAACAAACTACATCACCACAAACATTTAAAACATGAACCAGCTAAATCCAGACTTTTTAATACACCACAAGAGAAACGTGTAACTTTACAACATATCAGGAGATGTTTGAACGGTTTCAATGAGAACACATCAACATCCTGGGCTATATAACTATCAAAAACACATCACACTGTGTATAGAGGGAAGAATGGCTTCCGGCTGGCTTCATTCAGCTGATATTGGTGTAACTGCTCCCTCTTGTGCTCCTCCTGCCTCACAGTCACTTGAAAAAAACCAACCTTGTCCTATAGATCAACAGGGCTGCTTGTGTTCATCATGTGGTTGGATTTAAAAAAACACACAATAAAGAAAAGCTTCGTGTGAATGAGCTACAAAATATTATTCATGAAGATTCATTATTACTAAAGTCTAACAGCCCAACACAGATGCAAATATTTGATATTTACAGATCATTTTTTGTGGTGTATCTGACTTAGAAAATATTTTAATGTTCTCTTCCTGACAAATTTACAAGATAAGGCTAGGATGCATCTCAACACACTAATGTTTCACCACATACAATAAGAGCAAAGGTTTGTTTTAAGGTCATTACGATTTCGTCACAGAATCTTCCTCGGGCGCCGCTTCCTCAGCTTCAGGGTCATCCTCTGGATAGAGTCTGCAGTACTTGTCTACCATGACGTCCAGGTCGTGTTTGACATGAGTGTTGATGTTGAGCATTGCGAGGCTTTTGTTCCACTGCTTGGCGGGCATGCTGGCAAGATACGCCTGCAGCCGCTCGCTCGCTGTGTCGCTTTTGTTTTCTTCCAGTTTCAGCACAGGTAAGGTGGAGAGCACCTTGAGGAAGGAGTTCACGTTGGGAAAGAACTTGATGTCTGGAAGCTGCAGGGTCTCGTGGATGGTGGTGGGCAGGCGCACCTCTTTGCCCCTGTGCTTCCACTTGATCCTCCAGCAGTGCAGCTCTGCCGGAAGCGTGTCTGGGTTGGGGAGGTCGTTGCGGTAAACATCTGCGTAGTTCTCCTCTGTGGTGTTGAACTTCATCTGGCCCATGACAGCAGGGACCAGTGACAGGCACTTGAGAGCTTTGAGGTTGGTGTCGGAGAACATGTCCTCCACTTCCTGCATGATGCCACGGATGACAGGGACAGTCACATACTCCTTAAAATACGACTCTGTTTGGATTTCATCCATGTCAGCTATGCGCTGTTTCCGGAGGAAAAGCCTCGGGACCTTCACAGGAATCTCCATTACGTTGGCCACGCTCACGGCCTCCTCATACCAGAATTCATGGTAGACATCAATGTTATCATTGACCTCGTTTAGTGAATGCAGCACAGCAGTTAGACTGTTGGCAGCAAAGAACACATCCAGTGTTTCTCCTTGGAGATTCCTCCCAAAAGCTCTGGTGAACGTGAGAACATTCTTTAGGATGACGACGGTGACAATGATCTCAAAGTCGAACAGAATTTCTGTGATTGAATATGCATCTGCTGTGACGCTGCCGGCAAACTTTCCATCGTCATTGTCCCGAATGTTTTCCATGCACAGCAGTAGGGGCGGCAACAAATCCAGGAATACGTCAAAAGCACTGTGTTGCTGCATCCATCCTGATCCACAAGCCTGTTTCACTGCAGTGACCTTGTCTTCATTCTTCTGGTAGTGAGAGGAGACAGCGATATCCAGCTCCTCCTGGGTGAGCGGCGTTTTGAAGAAAGCATCCACCCTCCTCAGAATCTCCATGACAACCTGCACATTTGGAAAAGGCAGACTGCTGGCCAGGTGGACGTTCAGTGCCATGTGGGAGCACGGCATGCTCAGAAGCAGGGGATACTTCTCCATCAGTAACACTGCCACAGCTTTCATCTTGGTGGTGGAACTCCCAGTGGCCTTGTGGGCCTGACCACGGCAGTCCTCCATGCTGAGCCCCCACCGATCAGTCAGCTGGGCCTCCAGTCGCTCCACCAGCGAGGCCTCATCTCCATCGAACAGCACAAAGTCTAAAAACTCCTCCCGGAGAACGTTCTGCTGATTCACGAAGCGTAAAAACAGAGGAAGGTGCCTCTCGTTGGAGAACTCTACGAGGTCGCCCGTTACGATGGAGAAGAAGCGACTCTCTCTCACTTCCATCAGCATCTCCTCCCTCACCGTGTTCTCACACACATCCAGCAGCTGACTCTGCTGGGTCACAGAGAGGTAGTCTGTGTTCACAGCTGTCGCCTCAAAGCGCCTCTTCAAAGCTTCATCTCCTGCATTCATGCGGTAATCGAGCAGGGCCTGGAGGTTGTTGGACTTGCGCTCAGGTTCTTTTGCTTGGTCCGCCACTAACGGGATGCTCTGTTTTGCCAACATGACCACGACCTCAAACAAGGATCTCAGGTATTCACGGAACTCCTTCTCCTCTGTGGACAGCTGAGGTTCTTCCTCGTTGGTGCTCGAGCTGTCCTCAACTGCTGCATCTTGTTTGGACACAAGCTGCTCAATGGAGGACGCCACTGAATAAAGATACACAAAAAAATGACAGTGATCGTTTTAAGTAAATAGAAACCACATAAAATTAGAATGCAATTATTTTTACATTAGTGATGAATAAATTGACTCTTTACTTACGTCTCCTTTCTTTAATCTTTCTTATATCTTCTTCAGTCTGGAATTACAAATGTAAGTCAACACACAAATTATGAAGATTAAGATTTTAACATTTAAAACAACCACGACAGGTGAACTTCGATTAGTAAACATTTGTCTTACAAGCTCTTTAATCCGTTTGCGATGTCTGGTGTGAGGATTTTTGAGATGGCTCGTCAGATCAAATATTGTTGGAATGGCTGTATCCTTCAGTACAGTCCTATAGGGGCTCTGAAATACAATTAACACACTTAAGTCACTTCTTGGGAATAACTGCTGCCAGGCTGATTGGTGACGGATCCTGTCAGATACTCACAGTTTTGCAAACCATGGCTGGATCGAAGTGTTTGGCGCATAATCTATAGTGCTTGTTCAGCTGGTCCGAAGTTTTCGCCTCGAGATCTGCTCTGCGGCAGTTCTCTACCCAGATTCGACATCTACAAAAGAAAAGCAGAAAATCATTTAGGTCAAGTTTGGAAAAATGTATCAAGGCAGTTGTTGAGTCTGCTCGAGCTGCTTGTGAATTTGTCTAGATTACGTTCATACTGGTCAAGTGACATAGGTAAAAGTTACAACAAGTGCAACTAAACAGAGATCAGACCAACTGTGAAAGCACTGACAGAACTAAATGCTCATCGTAAAAATGTTTTCTTGCTTTGTATTGAACCACGACAGACTTGGTTGTAATCTTATGTAACTGCAGTGTAAAGTGCAGACCACATTAGCTGAGCCCTTTAACTCGATGTAACATTGGTGTTCATGTTGTAGGCCACACAACGTCATGAGTAACCTATGGAGCAGCAAGTAAATACTCTGACAGGGTTTAAAAGCTGAGCCTTGATATGCAACGTGAACACTCAAATTGAAACAGGTGAAGATTAATATGCACCAATTTTTAAAAACCAGTAAAAACAGATACTTTCCTTCAAAGTGTTTACACTGAAGCTGCAGTTATTAAAATGATAAAATGATCATGTCTTAACATTTGCTTTTTTAAAACATCCCAAATAAAAAGGTTTGAAACTTTTCTTTGGTAATAGCTCATAACAAACTGAGCTCTATTTATTTCAACTAGTCAAGTCAACTTTATTATCAACAATGCCATATGTGCAGGACATACAGAGAATTGAAATTGCGTTTCCCTCTTATCCCCAGTGCAAACAGCATTAAACATAAAATATAAAATATAAGTAAGTGAAAGATATAAACAGACAGTGGCAAATCTAGACGATATAAAGAGTATAAATATGGCAAGTATGGCGGGATGAACAGAATTATCAGTGGAATATAAATATGGCAATATGGAAGTATTTACAGAATTACAATATAAATATGGCAGTATTAACAGAATTACCAGTACAATACTATGATTGTATACTCACAGTTCCCATCTTAATCTGTTTATCCAACATTTTATAGAATAATGGATCAATAGTTGGAGCCCCTCTAGTAGTTTACATTGGGTGCTGAGAAGTTAAGGACAATCTGAACAAGAAAACATTCAACTGCATTTCAATCCCAGTTCAGTTTTTGCTTCACTTCTCAGCCATCGGACGGAAAGTGACGAATAAATCGCTGTTGATGGTCGAGCGAGTACACATGTTAGTCAACGTGTGTAGCGTTACATAAATAAGTCAGTCAATTTCATTCATAAAGCACCTTTCAAAACAAAAGTTACAAGGTGCTGTACGAAACAAACAGGAAGATAAAAGCTGGAAATCCAACAACAGAAGAATAGAAACTTCACAGAGGGCCAAACAGAAACAAGTGGAACCATAAGGACTAGATCAGATAGTGAACTTTACCTCTCCGGGTCCCGGGGAAACCGAAAAAAAGCCAAATCGGACTGTGTGCTCTTCCGTGTGCAGTTCGGGGCCGCGCAAAAATTGGGCATGATGCTTGGGCTAGGTGGTTAGCTTAGCCGAGTTAGCTGAGTACTGTCATCTGTGGACTCTGGAAGCTTCGTTAACGAGCACGTGTGGACTCTGGTGAGGTTTCTCTTTTTAAACACAGACACACAACTTTCACTCACTGCACCTGAGCGCGATACGTTTCCACAAACAGGGATCGGATCATCAGATCCACGACTCACAACACAACGATTCAATTTTAGAGTTGATCACTATGCAGGGGGATGTCCCGCCCACCAGGCATCTGATTGGACGAGCCAGAAGCAGGAAGCACAACGATTGGTTAATCCGTACAATACCGTGTCTGCTTTTCTTCTTCACCCTCAGAAAATACAGCGGAGGCAGCTCTCGTAGGCGCGCTGCTGCCACCCACAGGATAAATCAATGCACGACGGGAGCTAGCTAGCTAACAGTTTCATTATGTCTGATGATCGCTGAATGTATATACACGTAGAAGATGAACGGAAACTGTTAACTGTGGTTATCTGGTCGGAAGTTAACAGGAAAGTAAGGATCAACACATCATTAGTCGGTGGTGATGTCTCCACCAGCTCCTCCTGCTAAACTTAGTCGCAGATACGAACGGTCACGGGGACCGGACCACATCCGCTCTACATCTGATACTATTGTCGAATCTGCAGATTACAAAAGAGCAACACTGTTTAAAACACAGTGTCAGATTTACAACATCTTGATTCCGCCTGTGAAAAGAAACATGAGACCGGGCCTCTGTCCTCACTCTGAACACATGTCAAACTGTTACCAGTCTGAAAGTGGCGTTTTAAAATCATTGCGAAGAGGTTTAAACGCCCTGTTATATCAATGAGTGGTGCAAACAACGTAGAATCGGCGGCTAAATAATATCACGTGTTTCCGTTATGAAAGGTGAGCTAACTGTGACTCAGGGAAACTATAGGTTACTGTTGTTTGTCAGGTTTTTCAGCCGTAAGACATATTGAGGGTCTTTTTCTTACAGCAGCACGGCTCGTTGGTCTAGGGGTATGATTCTCGCTTAGGGTGCGAGAGGTCCCGGGTTCAAATCCCGGACGAGCCCTTCCTTTTTGGAGGATTCACCGCAAATCGCAGTTTTTGTGTCAGTGAAGCTCTGAAGGACAAAGACTCTGGAGTCACTTCTGATCTTCACAGAATCTCGAAGATGGAACAGGAAACACCGGAAGCAGGACATTTCCTTTGACGACACAGCTTTTCTTTATTATTTCCACGATGTATTGAAAACGCACTTTTTTCAAAAACACTTTTAGTTCATTGGAGTAAAATTTAAAGGGCTCGTCCGGGATTTGAACCCGGGACCTCTCGCACCCGAAGCGAGAATCATACCCCTAGACCAACGAGCCTAGACGACCTTTAAGACAATAATACCCATCATCAACCCCTACCACGCACATGATGTATCGTAACTTTATTTTGTTTCAGTGTATGTAAACCTATGTATTTCGCTGGATTGTGTGTTTATATTGCAGGGGATGAAGAGTGGATGGAGCCGGAGAACAATAACGACACACAGAGCAATTCAATTAACTTCTTTTTATATATCATACATAAGACTGTCTTAATATAATACAAAGGGCATTGTCATAAACACAGCAAAGTCTTGACTAGATCTTACAATCTGTGGATACATGGACTTATCCTTTCCCCCATGCTGTTCAATTCTATAGTGCATGTTGCATGTACAAAAAAAGTGAAAAAATGTGGAATCAAAAAAAAAAAACCAAAGAAAAAAAAAACAAAACAAAAAAGGATAATTCCAAATTAAATAAGAGGATTTCAACTTCTGTTGGGTGTTCAGATATGTCAACAAGTATACGTGTTTGTGTGTAACCCACAAACTGAACAGGCTTATGAAAGATGGAACCTTTTTTCAACCATGTGCTTCTCATATAACCAAAAAGTAAGGTTTGTGATGTACATGCACTTACAATATACCCTGTGAAAATTATTAAGGTTTGAAGATCTAGCTTTCCCTGTTTGATTCAAACCCTACCTCATAGTGTTGTCCTGATGTAGTCAAGTACCTTTGCCAAAAGGCAAGGTTTTGCCACTAAGAAAACAGGAGTTCCTGCCCACTGAATGGTCACCAAATTGACAAACATAATCAACATACCAGCAGGAGCAAGGTAGTGAGTTCTATACTTCCTTTATTAAAAAAATATAAATATATACATAAATTCTATTTCAACTATTAAAAAGGGGCTGCATTTCATGACAACTGCTCTAAATAAGAGGTCAATCAGCATGATCTGAAATAGGCGCACACTTACGAGTCACTGCAGTCAATTTTTTTTTCTTTTTCAGTCTTTATTTTTGGAATGTTTAGTACCAGTATGAGTGCCAGTCATAAAACCACTGGCGATTTCTAAATGTCTCAAATTCTGCGGGGTATGAAAAATGATTGCAAATTTGCAATTAACCTTGACATCCAGATGAAACCCCAATCTCAATATAGGTAGCTTTACATTTTGTTTGTGGAAATACCAAGCAGGATTTCTTATGATGGTTTCCCCTTTAAAATGACAACAGCAATACCTGTGGCCTGCCCTTAATTTGAATGGTGGCTGTGGGCAGGTTTTTTTGTCCAATTTTCAAAGCTGATAAAATGAGCAACAGAAGAAGGAAAGCACTTCAAACTCCCTGATATAAAAAAAAAATCTGGATATTGACTGTAATGTTTTGAGGACATGCATGTCTGCCTAGGCAAAGCATGTGATTGTGGGCTGATGGACACCCTTTCCCTTTGAATAGGACAACAATCATGGGGATCTGCCCTACCAAATCAGAACAATGCCATTCAACACAAACTGATTTGCCACAATTATCTTAATGCTGCCAAGACAATGACATTAAGTCTTGCTTAATGGCAGAAACTAGCCAAGTTGACCAAATGATGTATGAAAGGCAGCAAAACCCTTTGAAATAGTATGATGGGGCAAAAGAAAAACGACGACACAGAAATAGAACGCATTAGTCTCCTTTTTTTTTTTTTAAAACCATCAGCTTCTATCTTGCTACTCCGGAGCCTGCAGAGTAACTACCAAATTCTCTAACATACCAAGTTTTAAAAGACTCCCAAAATAACCTACCAATTAATATGGAAACAGTTTTGGTAAAACTTTGCAAACAAATCTGGCCAGAATACACAATAGCCAACGGTCTCAACAACGGTCTCCAGTTTTGCTAAAGTAAAATATTGCAGCTGTTTGTATTGACGTTAAAATAAGATCTTGTTAAACTTTGCGTCAAAGTGGTGAACTGCTACATTATTGGTTACAGACACCTATATGCTATAAAACAACTGCTTTGGTATAAAAACATATCCAAAGGGAAAATAAATTCTTGTAAAATTCACAGCATAAGTTGAGGAGAAAAAAGGCAGTCACTTAACTCATTTTTTTCTTCAGTTTCCATGTTTTGGATGGAGAGACTTGTGCAGGTGGTTCTGATGAGGAACTACATGCAAAAGGGAAAAATAACAAAACATAAAAGGGTAGACTCTGGAATAGATAGTTCTTTCCACTGCTAAATCCTTAACCAGTGAATAAGATTCTCAAGGAAGTAATGTTTAGGAGGTTGTTGTGTACAATAAGACCCTGTTATGTGGGGCCCTGCTGAAGAAGTAATCTTTGTCGAGAAAGGCCTCAAATTACCATTCTTATTTACCTTTTCTAAGTTGTTTTAATTTCCTTAAAGAATTAAGGGCTGTCTAGAGAGAAAAATAGAGAAAAGCCATCTTAATTCAAATGATAATGTCCAGCTCCATCCCATTCCAAGTCCATGAGTCATAAGGCCAAAGGGTTATCTAGAACCAGCCACTGACTGTCTTCCTCTCCCTGGGCTGGATCCTTTCGTCTCCCGTGCCCATCGCTGCTCTCGTCTGTGCCGGGCCCGGTCGCAGCTCGCAGGACTACGGGGCCTCTAGGCCTGAGGGGTGGTGCTTCCCTCTCCTTTGACCCGGTTGGTGTCAGTATCCACCTGCGGGTTTCTCCTCTCCAACCGGCCAGCACACGCTATAGGGACTCCACTCCACTGCCGTGTGCTTCCCTTCAACAGAGTTACACAATACCGACCAACAACAAGAAATATCACCGCAAACACTTCCCCTCATTGTCAAGCTACAGGATTTACAAGCAGCTTTTACGTGAAATTTTCACTTAAAAGGGCAAAATAATTAAGAACCAGTGGAACAGTAATGTCAGGCGGTCCACATTTTGAATCGAAAGAGGACGCCAAGCATTTCATCACCAACAGCTACCTGCAAAACAGCTTCAAACTTCACTCTGAAATGCTCCTTAGAAGATTTTGCCACATAATACCATATGGTGATTACTTGGTGGTTACATGAAACTGGTGAAATGGTAAGATGGATGTCTCAATCTCACTATGGTTATTCCGCAGTATTATTTTGTGCCTAATGATTGCAAAAGAAAAACTGATGAAAATTACATATATACTTTTTAACAAAGATTTTTCTCTGTAGTAGCGGTTCAGTGATATCTCCCTTCTGACGTGAGCAGCTTTTGTTCTCAACACACCTTGTAGTAAAAAACACCACCTTAAAAATGACGCACAGGGGGAACACACAGCCAAATGTCAGTGCAGTCACGAGCTGGCCATAGAACTCTGCTGCACACACACTCCAGTCATTGGAGACTCCTCTCGGTCCATGCCCTGCCTCATGCCCAGGTGGCCTTCCGCTAGGTAGTGGCCAGGCCCTGTGTTCGTGCCCATGGAGAATGCAGGGTGCGCTGCCATGCCAGTCTCCTGCCGTGGGTTCGAGAAGGCACCTAGCCCCATACTCAGCCCACCATTCTGACCAAAGTCAAGGGCTCCGGTGGGCAAATGGCGGAGCTGGTAGGCCTGGTTGCCATGGTTCCCAGTGGAAGAGGACGATGTAGAGGAAGAGGAGGCAGAGGAAGACAGGGAGGTCATGGACAGATGGCCATGAACCACTTCCATGGAGTCCTGTGTTGAGGAGCTGTGTGTCGGGGAGGTGTAGTGGCGAGGGCGTGGCCGCGTAGCCATCATCTGCCCGTGGTGGTGATGAGTATGTGAGTGGGGATGCAGGGCCTTAGGGTGCTGAGGGGGAACATGGAAGGTGGTTTCCTGGACTGGGTGTGTCTCTCCAGTGACTGACTCTGGTCCAACGCCACCTCCCCACACCAGCGGGGGTGGGTAAGGCTGTCTTGCCTGTCAATGTCAAGCACATAACAAAGTCAGTTGTAGAATACAACTGCATAATTTGTCTAGTCTTCAGGCAGTAATGCTCAACTGTTATGATCTGTTACCATATAACATTGAAATGAAAGTTGACATAACTCTCAAGTCAGGAAATGACAATTGTTTGCCAATGGTAGTCTTCATAGACACACAATCACCCATCATAAAATTTAATTTCAAGTGTAATTTTAGAATTCTAAGAATATTAATCCTGTCTTGTATTACAATCAAACATTTTAAAGCACATATTAATTTGTTCCTAAAACTACAAATCCATTTACTTCCACCACAATAGGTTAACTCAGAATCAAATCACATTGAGATCCCTCCAGCGAACTCACTGACCTGTGGGCAGAGGCTGTCACCATCGATGGCAGGCAGGGCCGTGCCGAAGTGTCCTCCACTGTGCAAGTGGTGATGGGTAGGGTCTGATCTTGCTCTGCCACTGGTACTTGTCCCAGATGATCCTCCTAACGGTTAAACACGGTGTCAAAAGTGCAGCCTCAACAACAACACATTTAATATATCAAATGCTACGATCGGATTT